CCGGCTTGTTATCCTATGTGTCCATCCCCGGCACGTTATCCTATGTGTCCATCTCCAGCATGTTATCCTATGTGTCCATCTCCAGCATGTTATCCTATGTGTCCATCCCCAGCATGTTATCCTATGTGTCCATGCACACAAACTGTAAATAAAGTTACATAGTTAATCTGGCTGAAAAAAGATAAAAGTCCATCCAGTTCAACCATAGAAAAAAAAAAAAATTTATAATCCTACACCCATATTTGATGCAGAGGAAGGCAAAAAAACCCAGCAAAGCATGATCCAATTTGCTCCTGCAGGGAAAATAAATTTGTTCCTGATCCGAGAGGCAACCGGATATTCCTCAACTTTACCTATAAATGTTAGTATCCAGTTATATTCTGTGTATCTAAGAAAGAATCCAGGACTTTTTTAAAGCAATCCACTGAGCTGGCCAGAACCAACTCTTGAGGGAGTCTATTCCACATTTTCACAGCTTTTACTGTGCAGAAACCTTTCCGTGTTTGGAGATTACATTTCTTTTCCTCCAGACATAGAGAGTGCCCCCTTGGCCTCTGTGATGACCTCAGGGTGAATAACCCCACACCGAGCAGGGATAAATCCCCTGCTCCCCTGCTGAGCAAAGCAGAGTCCTCCCCATGTGAAAGGGGCCTAATGAATAACCGAGCTAAAAGGGTAGATTTAGACATTTGTCTAAATCTTTCTTGCCTCTGAAGCCCGATCTGCGTCCGGATCACGCTCCAGAGGCTACTGGCAGGCAGTGAGGAAGCGATGAGACTCCTCCTCGCTGCTCCTTTTAAGCACGATTTTTCTGACAATTGCGCCACAACCACATGGATGGCATGCAGTTGTAGGGCGTTCGCAGCGTTTTCCCATTTGCTAGACTGAGTAGCGGTCATGTTGGGTAAACTTTGCCGCGGGTGCGAAGCATTGTGACCGAGGCATGTAAATACCCCTCTTAGCTGCCTGTTGCATCCTAAGGAGGGGGCGGTTGGTGGGGGCAGCAGAAATGAAACTCAACCATGCATTTTTGCCACCCCCCCCACCCACAGGTCTAAACGAAGCCTAAAGGCAGGAGGGGCAGGAGAGGGTGTCTTTAACTGATGAGCAATTACCAGTAGTGGTGCACCGAAATTAAAATTCTGGTCCCGAAACTGAAAATTCAAAACGCACTTGGCCAAAAACTGAAACTGAAATGCGCAGTTTTTAAAAACGAATACATATTTATTGGAATAAAATACACTTTGATAAAAAAAAAAAAGCAATGTATACCACAATTTTTTGTAAAATATGAAAGAGGATGTTACAGCGAGTAAATCGATACCCAACATGTCACACTTTAAAATTGCGCACGCTCGTAGAATGGCGTGAAACTGCAGTACTTAAAAATCTCCATGGGTGATGCTTTGAAAATGTCTACAGGTTAGCAGTGTAAAGTTACAGAGGAGGTCTAGTGCGACAATTATTGCTCTTGCTCTGACGTTCGTGGCGATACCTCACATGTGTGGTCTGAACAACATTTACAAATGTGGGCATGGCCTACGTATGCGTTCACCACTACGTGCGAGCACGGGGGGGACGGAGCACTTTGAAATTTTTTTTTTTTTTTTATTTAATGGAGTTTTTTTTTTGTTGAACTGTCCCTTTAAAAAAAGAAAAATGTTTAATCACTTTTATTCTTATCACAAGAAATGCATGCATCCCTTGTTATAGAAATAATTAGTGACAGGTCCTCTTTATGGAGAGATATGGGGTCTATAAGACCCCACATCTCTCCTACAATGTAAAGCATTGGATAAAAAAAAAAAAAAAAAAACATTGATCTAGTGTGCTTTAAAAAAAAAAAAAAAAAAAATTTCCGGAACCGTAAGTGACATCGCTCCGGTCCTCCAAGGGCATAGAGATGAGTGGAGGCCATCTTTCCTTCACTCATCTCTATGCCCAGCGCCGGGATCGTTCGATGGTTTCTCAGGTAAGGCTGAAAACCAGTGGTGTATTTAGGTTTTGTGCTGCCCTAGGCAACACAAAAATTGTCTGCCTACACAGACACCGACCAACACAACCCCCCATTCCCCCTCCTGCGAAGAGAGCCTGACCCTGACCAACAACACCCCTGCCCCTCACCCGGGAGAGCCTTCCACTACCCCCACTTGCAGCGATACAGAGACACTCATCTTCTGGACATCCCCAGGAACGTGAGCCAGGCTCTACATACACCATCAAGCAGCCTGCAGCCTCTCTCAGATCCCACTTGGTTCCCATGGTGCTTGTATCCCTTCTTTCCTCCCATATTCTGGGGGAGGTGCTGCTCCCCTGACAAATGCTGCCCTAGGCAAGTGCCTTGTGGTAAATATGCCCCTGCTGAGAACTACCAAGCAGCAACGGCGGGTGTATCGGTGCTTTTTTTTTTTTTTCATTTCGGCTGACGGACGAAAGGGGTGTTTTTGGCCGAAACGTTTCGGCCACTGAAATTTCGGTGCATCCCTAATTACCAGTATGCTTACAGCAGCAAAGGATTATTGTGTTGTACACCTGAAAAGCGACACCAGACACAAATCTAATGAGCAAACATGGCTGAACCTTTGTACATCTGTAAAAACGCTAAGAAAAAAAAAAAAGAAAAAAAAGAAGGAAAAGGGGGAGGTGCTTTTACAAAAAACGACTAAACGACCGACAGCTGTCATGAGGCTGATCTCATTCACGTATATGTTGGAAAAAGCACTTAAGAAAACGATTATAGGCTGCCTTGAAACCCCCGATTTCCCTATCTCAGTAGGGGGTTTCCATTTAAGCGTCCTTCAGCTTCGTGATGATGATGTTAAACATACGCTCAATGTGGCGATTTCTTTAGTTTGCCGCTGTGTGAATACAAATCTGCTTTGCGTTTCAGGAATGGCTTTGCGCATAATGCGGAGTGACAGTAGGTAACGAGGCACAGGTGACGGGGATAATGGACAGCTCGCACCCAGCGCCGCCATGCTTCACAGGTTTTCTCCCCACACAAACTCACGCCGTGTCATCCCTAAGTGCTTCTGTCAGAGAATAATCTGCTCATCACCCAGCTTTATTTAAACAAAGTAACCAAACCGTTATTACAACCCTCTTTGCATTTACTGGCACGGTGGTGGGCGGCAAACACAGAACATGTCTTTATGCACCATCTCATTCGAAGAAGATGACTAGTGTAACTTAAAGGAAAATTGTTTAAAAAAAAAAAAAAAAAAATCAAGTCTGAAAACCTGAGCTCTAAGGCAAGCCATAGATTATACAATTTTTTTTCCTTCCACCCATGGTGGATTGCTCCATTCACCCATCAACACACTTTGTGTTCAATCCCTCCAACAGCTGCAGTGTCCTGCCAGTGGGGAGCCTTTCCTATTGGCGGAACACAACGATCACTGATAGCGACTATAGCCGCCAGCAGAAATCACATGGAAAAAAAAAATCTGCCAGGCTGGTTGTATTGAAGTCGACTTCAGTACAACCAGCTTGCCGAAAAGATTGCATCTCAGCCGGTTCCTGCTGAGCCATCCCAGATTCGATCCATCTATGGCCAGCTTAAAGTAAATAATGAACACAGATCCTAATGGGAGTGCTGATTGCCTCTTTAAACAAGCTGCTAGCAGGCTTCATCACTACTTGAAGCTTGTTGAAAGCCTGCTAGCAGCTTGTTTAAAGAGGCAATCAGCACTCTCCTTAGGATCTGAGGAAATGTTATACACGGATCTTAATTGTAAATAATGAACAAACAAGTGCTGAAGGATGTTTTTCTAGGCTTAACGAAAGCTGCGTGAAGCCTTCATAAAAGCTTGCTGTGCACACTGTGCTTATACAAGCTGAAACCCATGAGAAACAGGCTTAAAGCAGAGCTCCACCCAAAAGGGAAAGTTCCACTTTAATGCATTGTCTCCCGCTCCCAGTTAAGGATGGGCACCTTTGGGAAGCGGGTACCTGAATTTGACAGATACCCGCTCCCACTTCCGCTATGATCGCCTAAGGCGAGCGGAAGCAGAAGTTGTCCTCCCCCTCTCCATAGTCTTCTGGGACACATGACAGGTCCCAGAAGACTATGGGACCATTCACAAAACGCAGAGCTTCTCGCGCATGTGCAGTGGGCACCCAGATGTGAAGCTGCAAGCTGTCACAGCCGGGTGCCCACAATGAAGATGCTGGAGCCGGGGAGAGAAGACGGCCGGTAAAACCAGCGGTGGTGAGGACACTGCTGGACCGAGGGACAGGTAAGTGTCTGTAGTTTAAAAGTCAGCAGCTACAGTTTTTTTTTTCTGACTTATCTTTTAAATCAGCTGGAACTCCACTTTAAGCCCCTGCTTCTGGCCACCTTCGGCTAGGTGAAGGGAGCAAAGGACTGTATGGGGGACTTAAGGCTCCACGCACACGGGGCGTTTTAATAACGCTGGTAATAATGTTAGCTGTGTAAAGTCACGTTAAAAACCTGTGTTTTTCAGCGTTTTTGTATTAGCGTTTAGCTGCGTTTGCATTTTTAGAGTGTTTTTTTTACTAAAAAAAATAATTTAAGTAAAAAAAAAAAAAACATAAAACCGCTGGTTTGCAGCGTTTTTCAGCGTTAGACCGTTTTTACAGCTAAAAAAAAAACTCCTCTAGAAACCCACTAGTCCTAGGTATTTTTTCCAGCCAAAAAACGTTGATTACAGTCTATGTGTGCATGGACACATAGGATAACATGCCGGGGATGGACACATAGGATAACATGCCGGGGATGGACACATAGGATAACATGCTGGGGATGGACACATAGGATAACATGCCGGGGATGGACACATAGGATAACATGCCGGGGATGGACACATAGGATAACATGCCGGGGATGGACACATAGGATAACATGCCGGAGATGGACACATAGGATAACATGCCGGGGATGGACACATAGGATAACATGCCGGGGATGGACACATAGGATAACATGCCGGGGATGGACACATAGGATAACATGCCGGGGATGGACACATAGGATAACATGCCGGGGATGGACACATAGGATAACATGCCGGGGATGGACACATAGGATAACATGCCGGGGATGGACACATAGGATAACATGCCGGGGATGGACACATAGGATAACATGCCGGGGATGGACACATAGGATAACATGCCGGAGATGGACACATAGGATAACACGCCGGGGATGGACACATAGGATAACACGCCGGAGATGGACACATAGGATAACACGCCGGAGATGGACACATAGGATAACACGCCGGAGATGGACACATAGGATAACACGCCGGAGATGGACACACAGGATAACACGCCGGAGATGGACACACAGGATAACACGCCCGGGGATGGACACACAGGATAACACGCCGGGGATGGACACACAGGATAACACGCCGGGGATGGACACACAGGATAACACGCCGGGGATGGACACATAGGATAACACGCCGGGGATGGACACATAGGATAACACGCCGGGGATGGACACATAGGATAACATGCCGGGGATGGACACATAGGATAACATGCCAGGGATGGACACATAGGATAACATGCCGGGGATGGACACATAGGATAACATGCCGGGGATATAGAGTGTCTGTCCAGGAATTGCAAATAAAGTGACCGATCCATTTAACCCGACACCTAATTTGGGAACAGGGAAATTAAAATGGATCTTTTAATAATTCTAATAGAATTCTAATAATTCAACGTCAATAAGAAAGCTACAACAGGTCCTAAGAGGTTCAAAGATGGTCCCATCTATGGACAGCAGTCACCGCTGCCTGGACAGAGTTTTTGTTCAATACCTTCATTATTTTGTTTTGGCCCCTCTGTACATCTTTAATAAATTATTAAGCTTCAACTTCCTGCTGGACAGAAATTCCACTACAACAAAACAAACAGAAAGAAAAAAAAAAAGAAAAGAAAACCGTTATCTCAACAATTTGTGCAAGCTGTAAAAATAAAGAAACCTTTTCTGCAGCCCACAGCTCCGCAGTGTCTGAATCAACACAGAGGGGGGCACCTTCCACTCATCAGGATCCCACCTGGTTCTGTCACTGCGTCATACAGACGGGGCTGCAGTAATGCACAGGAAAAGAAAAACATAGCCTTGTTCAACAGAAAGAACTGCTATCCTTATTTAATGCTGAACTCCAGAAAACAAAAAGTCCCCCCTTGCAGTGGGGGTGCACCCACTTTGCAGGGTTTAACTGCTCATTTAGACTAGATTAGGGGTCTCCAAAGTTTCTAAACAGAGGGCCAGTTTACTTTCCTTCGGATTTTAGGAGGGCTGGACTGTGGCCATTGGGGGTAAACAATATCTCAGGCTTGGGGGTCAGTAAAAAAAATAATAAATAAAAAATTCACATAGCACCTGTGGTCAGTAGAAGAAGGAACAGTGTCTCACCACTGGGGTTATTTGGGGGAATAGTACCTAATCAATATCAGTGGCAGGAATGGTGCCCCATCACTGGTGTCAGTGGGAGGAACAGTGCCCCATCACTGGTGTCAGTGGGAGGAACCGTGCCCCATCACTGGTGTCAGTGGGAGGAACCGTGCCCCATCACTGGTGTCAGTGGGAGGAACCGTGCCCCATCACTGGTGTCAGTGGGAGGAACAGTGCCCCATCACTGGTGTCAGTGGGAGGAACAGTGCCCCATCACTGGTGTCAGTGGGAGGAACAGTGCCCCATCACTGGTGTCAGTGGGAGGAACAGTGCCCCATCACTGGGAGGAATAGTGCATCATCACTGATGTCACTTGGAGGAATAGTGTCCCATGACTGGTGTCACTTGGAGAAATAGTGCACCATCACTGGGAGCAATAGTGCATCATCACTGATGTCACTGGGAGGAATAGTGTCCCATCACTGGGAGGAATAGTGCCCCATCACTGGGAGGAATAGTGTCCCATCACTGGGAGGAATAGTGTCCCATCACTGGGAGGAATAGTGTCCCATCACTGGGAGGAATAGTGTCCCATCACTGGGAGGAATAGTGTCCCATCACTGGGAGGAATAGTGCCCCATCACTGGGAGGAATAGTGTCCCATCACTTGGAGGAATAGTGCCCCATCACTGGGAGGAATAGTGTCCCATCACTTGGAGGAATAGTGTCCCATCACTTGGAGGAATAGTGTCCCATCACTGGGAGGAATAGTGCCCCATCACTGGGAGGAATAGTGTCCCATCACTGGGAGGAATAGTGTCCCATCACTGGGAGGAATAGTGTCCCATCACTGGGAGGAATAGTGTCCCATCACTGGGAGGAATAGTGCATCATCACTGATGTCAGTGGGAGGAATAGCGTATCATCAATGGTGTCAGTGGGAGGAATAGTGTCCCATCACTGGTGTCACTGGGAGGAATAGTACTCCATTGCTAATGTCACTGGGAGGAATAGTACTCCATTGCTAATGTCACTGGGAGGAATATTACCCCACTGTTTGTGACTCTGGGAGGAATGGTAACTCATTGTTGGTATCAGTGGAAGGACCATTGCCACAAGGGCTGCATCCAAGTCCACGGGCCACAGCTTGGAGGCCACTGGTCTAGGGGACAGAAAAAAAAAGACCTCTACCTACCTCATCCTACACTTCCCAGCAAACAGTGCTCCCCTCTGCTCTGGCAGTGGACTGTCTCTTTGAGTCCTAATGTTTAATACAGGGCTATGGTCCCTGCATCAGTCTTGACATCTGAGGACCTTAGATTACCAGCGTGTAGGGGAGAAGAGGCTTCAGGGACCCGTCTAAGATCACTAAAAAACTAGTAGGTGCAGAGGATCTTTAGATAGGTAAAGTCAAGGAGGTAAAAAGTGCTCTCCACAATCCAATAGGATAAACGAGCGGTTCATGCTTAGCAAGGGTGAAGCCCAACTGCAATGGAGTATTTTTTTTTTTAGTTTCCTGCTTAAATAAAATATGGTTTTATGAATGGGGAGCTGCTAAAATGACCTGAAGTAACCAGTTACCTTCTTGCCTTGCAAGATAAGAACAGCCAATTGTTACTTTATTCTACAACCTGGCACCCCAAAAATACTCAGCCTGTGCTCACTAAGGGCTCATGTACACGGGACGTTTGGAAAACACTTCTGAACAATGGAAACTGACTGCTGGAAAACGTAGGCTACAAACGTCTGTTTAGCTGCGTTTGCATACCGCGTTTATGCACATTTGCGTTTAGAAATGTTTTTTAAAGATAACCTCAGGAGACCTTCCCAAATGCCCAGAATGCACTGAAAAACAGTAATAAATTAACTATTTCAGACATTTTGATAGAAATAGAGAGAGCAGAAGCAGAGAGAGCAGTATGTGTTGAGATAATTAGGTGTGAGTTGCTCATTAACATATCTTTTGTTTCCAAGGGTGGGAAAGGTGTCTGGTGGAGGGAGTCATTAAGGCCACCTGGCAGGGGGTCTTCATGAGGAATTTGAGGTGTGAATGGTCATTAACATTTCTTTTGTTTCCAAGGGTGGGAAAGGTGTCTGGTGGAGGGAGTCATTAAGGCCACCTGGCAGGGGGTCTTCATGAGGAATTTGAGGTGTGAATGGTCATTAACATATCTTTTGTTTCCAAGGGTGGGAAAGGTCTGAGGTGTGAATTGGTCATTACATGTGTGACTTGGTAGGGACATCCTGTGTTCAGTGTTTTGTCCATTTAAGTACCTTGAAACCGCTTTGCATGCATTTTTCATGATGAAAAAAGGCTCTGGGCAGCATTGGGAAATGGAAGAGTTAAAAAAAAATTTCAAAAGCAAATGCTTATAACCGCATTTGCAAGCGTTTTGCTTTTGGAACACTGCTAAAACCGACTGCGGAACGCAAGTTTTCTGCGTTCAAAAAAACGACTGTAAACTCAAATGCCTGTAAATGACTGTAAACGACAATGTGTACACGGACACATAGGAAAACATTAGGGAGAGTTCAGGGGCTGCTGAAAAAAATGCTGAACAGCTCCTGAACATCAGTTTAGTAGCTGCAGTGTACATGAGCCTGAATACTACACAGAAGATGATTTGCACAATCCCAACAAACGGAAGTGAAGAGGACTGTAACCAAATGTATTCTCCACAGGTGACTGACTGTTAGAGGAATGGGTTCCGATGGGTTTTTTTTCCCCCAGAATATGTTTTCTGGGGTTATAACAGAATTTTGTCATAGATCTCTAAATAGCTCAAATCAAACGAATTAAATAAATCAATTAACATGTAATGCGTTTTATTGCCTTTAATCTAATGGATACTCACTTCTCTAAAAATGCTATTTAAAATGTAGAAATATATTTATAATATTTTCTCAATGCCTCCTGGTGCACATCTGATCAGCATCTGAAACCTGAAATACTACACCACCACCTATGACTAGTTCATGAAATAGGACTTGGTTTCAGCGGCAGAAGAGACAGACCCAAGGCATCTTCTGCCAATCACTCATTCTGCTTTTCTCTTAGCGGCCAATGAATATATTTGCATTATCAGCGGGTGTGTGAACAGTATGATGGAAACTGGTAACTGTTGAGGGCAAATTACACTTTTAGAAGCGACTTGTGTATAAGTGTTGGAGTATTTCATGACTCACAAGAAGATTATATCTTTGGATCACTGTGGAGGGGCTGCTTTTGTTTCTAAAATGTCTTTGCTCACATTTGAGCTGGGGCTGTGAATGGGCAGAACTACGCCATGCCAGTGGGCTGCTGCAAAAAAAAAAAAAAAAAAAAAAAAAAAACAGACCACTTGGCTCACTCGATGGTAGATGACATCAGAGATGGATATCAGGTACTGCATTTTGCTCCACAGTGACATGGAGTGATTATGGATCATTTATATGCAATTTAAAGGTGGCATCTGAGGATTGCTCCTAATTTTATTTCCATTTTGCAAGTGCATAGGAATAGTACGACAAATAACTCATGATGTCAGGCAGCAAATATCTGAAATCAATCTATTTTATTACATAATATTATCCTGGGAATAATGGCTAGGTCGTACTTCTCAAAGCTGCAGTAGTCTGTGGAATAGGTGGTGCCAGAGTTATTAACGGCATAACTACTTCACTCCCAGTTTTCAGACACGGCCTATGTCTGTCCTCACTGTAGTGTCTTACCAAGGCTATAGAGCAGTGATCTCTAATCTGGGCCCCGGGGGCCGGATGCAACTCCTTGCTTGCTTTTATCCAGCTCTTGGGATACTATTCCATCCACTGACACCAACAATTGGGAATATGTCCTCCCATTGAGACCATCACTTGGGCATGTGTCCTCCCATTGAGACCATCACTTGGGCATGTGTCCTCCCATTGAGACCATCACTTGGGCATGTGTCCTCCCATTGAGACCATCAATTGGGCATGTGTCCTCCCATTGAGACCATCAATTGGGCATGTGTCCTCCCATTGAGACAATCAATTGGGCATGTGTCCTCCCATTGAGACCATCAATTGGGCATGTGTCCTCCCATTGAGACCATCAATTGGGCATGTGTCCTCCCATTGAGACCATCAATTGGGCATGTGTCCTCCCATTGAGACCATCAATTGGGCATGTGTCCTCCCATTG